TGCTTACGAATATTATATGAACCAGTAAAAGTCAAAATTGCAAAATGAAGCAATTACTGCTTAGTGCTTAAATTTTATTATTATCGCTTAAGTGTAAAATAATTGAGATAGTATTACGTTCAGCATCTTTAAAAGAGAATACATCACTATTGAATATCCTCATACATAAATTATTGATTTTACATTTAATAAATAAAATACTTATTATTTGAAAGAAAAGGATCTTTAACTCTAAGCATCACTAAATTTAGAAATTTATTGTGCCAATCTTTAAAATTTTTGGGAAAATTCTACAAAATCTGTTTTATTATGTTATGCTTAAACAGAGAGTGAAAATCGGTTCTTATTGCATCAAGATATCCAAATTCAGTTTTCTACTATTTTTTTAAATACATAATTATTTTATCAACACTTGTTATTTTTATTGAATTACTTAAAACAAATGTAAGTGCAATTATAAATTCCAATTTAGACTAAAGTCAAAATCATTGTGAATAAAGCACAAATCAAATACAGAAATGAACATACTACAGTTTCGGTTTTCTCAAAAAAAAACCTCCTCAGTTTCTAAACACCAAATGATATTAGAAAATAAAGAGATAAGCACGTGCCAAGTAGTTTAACCAATCAGAGCAGAGTAACAAGTTTTAACAAGACAATGAAAAGAAGGGTGATAAGAAGCATGCATGACCGGGTCTGACGGTAACCCGGAGAATTAATTATTAAATTTTAGAAAATATTTACGTTTATTGGAGAAAGGGGGCACTTTCAAAGATCATTAACTTAATTATTAGAATTTTTCAAAATATGAAGTTATAGAAATCAAGTTCAGTAGATGAAGAACGGTTTTGAATGATTTTAGGAGAAAAATGCTCAAATGTATATTTAGAATTAAATTTATTTAGGGTGATTTAAGATAGTTTAATATCTTTCATTTTCTTAAATTAAAATCCCTAACACATGTTTCTTTATGACCCTCGCTTCATTAGATTAAATATTTGCCTGAAACTTCTTAATTCTAGCTTAAGTTTATTTTATGAAAACATGAACATTTTTATAAAAACTATTTTTTTTCTTATGTTATTTTGCTACAAAATGTTCTTTTCAGTTATTACTATGATTTTAAAAATATTCTTAATTGCGATTTTCATTATCAGAAAATTCTAATTAATTTTCGCTTTGTTCAAAATTTTCTTTTCAATGGAAAACATGTTTTTATTCATATTGAAGGAATACCACAGGGATCAAAATTTTTCTCTCTCAGCTAACTTGTTTCTTTGCGCTATTATAAGAAAAATTATACTCTTATTATTAAATTTGCTTTTAGAAAAATTGATGACTTCATTATCTATAGCTTTCAAGATTATACAATTTTCCTGAATATTATTTAACCCGATGAATTAATCTTGCTTCGTAAGCATGGTCATAATAATAAATTTAATTTTTTTGGATTTAGTTATTAAAAAAGAAGAAAATATCTGCATTGTTGATTTATACTGTAAAAGAAACTATTTCAATTTTAAGATTAATGAACTAATTGCTTGGAATTCTAATAGTTCTAAAAACATTTATTTAAGTACCAGTTTAAATCAAAAGAATAGAATTACAAGAATATGTGGTAATATTTATTTATCCAAAAAACAAATGGACAAACTTCTTCAAAATGTGATAAAAGAACAAACAAACAAAGGATACACAACTAATAGTAAATTCTATATAAAATCACTGAGTTAATTGTATGTTAATATTGTTAATAAATTTACTACAAGCATCTTTGTCAACTAAATTTATATTTTTAATATGTGCAAATCCATATGTGCAAATCCGATGCTAAAAATCTGTGCAAACCACTCAAAGCTTATTTCTTTTCCCTTTTTTTTAAAATAAATGTCATTTTTCTAAAATCAGTTAAATAGTATGATTTAAAATCAACTTTGTCAATTATAAACTTCAAATTTTCCAGTTAGACATTATTACCTTGCGCATATTCATTTTTGGGGCAATCCATGGTAACTAAAAAATCAAACGAGCTTCAGTGCTGCCATAAAATATTCCTCTATTTAAGCTTCTAACCTCTATTTGCACTTGTTTTTTCATGTTTCGAAATCTGGTAATCTTATTGGGAAATTATTTTAGATCAATAATTGAAGAATTCCGGTAATTGTAAGTTTATTTGAATTCGCTACTTGTTTTGTGTTCTGTTTACGTTTTGTTTTTACGTTTTGTGTTTTGTAATGTATATTTCGTACATTTTACTTTCTGTTTTTTGCTTGATATGATTTATTTGCTATTATGTTTTACTTACATGTTCTATCGCTATTTCACTTTTTTAGTGCTCCTTAAATTATAGTACTTATATATTTTGTTTAGGCTATATTAATACAATATTTTAAAGCACTCCTTCTTGCGGATATAATCGTGTGAGCTGATGACGAAATCTTTTAATTATTTAGTTTTCCAGCTTTCAAAATAGTTTGAAAAATATTTATTTTTATTAATTCTTTCGAAACATTTTTACAATGATTTTTGTTAGCCGAATAAGTGGAACTTGACTATGTATTCAAGAAAATAAACAAAATTACTTTAATAATGTAAAGTAAAAATTTTATTAATAACGTAACAATAACTTTAATATAGACAAAAAGAAATTGAATCTATCAGTGAAAAAAATAATAATGATAAAAGCAGCGATTTTGTTAAGAGTAGGCCTTTACACTTCCTTGTTAGCTAACTCCTGTAATCATACCTAAAATTTGCCTCAGCTAAATTTGTTTTCTTGTTTCCTTTTTACTCACTAAATTATTTATCTCTAGCTTCTAATTAGAATATTTTCCTAATTTTTTATACAGATGCTGAAACTGCACCCTTGTAATTTTGTATCTAACCCTGAATACAAGGAAATCCTAGATCTATTACGGATGTATTTCTATTACGACAAATTTGGCTTCGTGATGTAGGAATTGGTACTGAAATTAACTCGCATCTGCGTTACATGGAGAGGAAAACTATGAACAACTGCCGCTGGGCAAGTGCTCTATCCTGTTAGCCACCAACGGTTCTGATTAATATAATACACTTGGTATAGAGTATAGTTACATAGTATAGTATAGTTATATACTTAACAATTATAAAAATCGTATGAAACTTACAATTAATTTAGTCTAGAAAATTAGATAATGGAAATATTAAATGGTAGAATGGTGAAATTAGTATTTGAATTGATGTTGACTGAAAGTGTTATAACTTTCAAGAGAGTTAGATTAAATCAACATTTATTTACACAAGCAGATTTCACTTCAATGTGCTAAATTATTTTTCATTAATTTAAAAGAGGTTTAAAAGGATTCTACTGAATTAAGTATGAATAAGCTGATATTAAATCTAAACTCTTTTGAAATTAAATCTATTTTTTTCCTTGCTTTTCGAAGCATTGGCAAACTTTGGTAAACAACGATAAGAATTTTATTCTTTAGTTTTACGATGCCAATTAACACCAACACTAAGCTCTAGTCACGCGATAAATTATTAACTGAAGTGATTAAATATATTCCAAAAACAAAATATATTATTAAAATGTTTGCTTCAGAAATTATTTAGGGATTATAAGAAGATTAACTATTTTATCACAAACTTATATCTTTATATGACAAAGAAGATCCTGGTAATAATCTATGTTTTCTACTCGTGCTTAGTAATACTTGCTTATAATTCTTTACCGCTGCATTATATACCGTTGCTTACTTTTCGAAAATGATATCTTGACTTTCTTCTGCTTAATGCGCATTGAATTTTAGTGAGTAAAATAATCGTTTTATCCTCTTAATAATTCTGAAAAAGTATCTAAAGTAATAATATAAGAGAAGGAATATTGAAGAGGTAGATGCAAAGCAATCCTATTTTCAAATTACTACTTTTTCAAATTCTTCTGCTGAGTGTTTAATAGGAGATAAGTAGGTAGGTATTTTATCTACGTAGCACTAGAGCTGCACAATGGGCAATTGGAGACGGTCTTTAAAATATCTATGAGGATGATTTGAAGACATGCATCGCAATCTGCGATCCTATGCAGAGGGGATGACTCCCTTGCTTTGGTAGCCCGATGACCAGTGCGTGAAATCGAGTAATTTGCGGTGGAGCAGTTTAATGAGGACCAATATCGCTCACCCTCGGTCCCTACGCAGACTGATCAAAGTGGTCACCCACCCGCTTACTGAAGCAGCCAGTGGTGCTTCAATTCGTTGTTCTACTCGAAAAAGTTTCTTTACGATTATTGCAATGCGGAACTGTTTGATAAGAATATGCTTGTTGATAAATACTGCAATTTTCACGGATGGGAAAAAATCTTTATTTATTGTTTGATTATGGAGTGAAAATTTTGAAAATATGCAATGTATCTACTTGGAAGCAACATAAAGGTAAAATCTGAAACAAAACTTATTTCCACAAGAAAACTTATTTTCACAGAAGTGGATTAACACTCTATTGCCCTATGCCATTTGACCTATGCCTAATGAAACTTAAAAAAACATTTACACCATTTTTTTATTGTTCATTTGTATTGCAGATATTTCTTTGTATTGCAGATATAACACTGAACACTATATATAACGCAGATATAACAATTTTATTAGCAGCAATAAAATGAATAAAAAATTAAAATAAATAAATTAAAAGCGCAATTAAAGTATTAGCAACAACAAACTTTTGTATAATTATTACTTTTATATGTTTTATATATTTATATTATTTTATATATTACTTTTTTATGCTTTTTGGCCATCATATAACTTTGAAAACAATTTTTAACTCAGCAATATAAACTGGTTTTGAATGGAAATAATTGCAATAGAAACACACACTAAATGGAATCTGATAAGTTTAGAAATAATTAAAAATAAACAAGATGAAAACAACATTAATTTTTTAAATAAAGATATGCTTACATAATATTTTGTCTTTTAACTTCATCATTAAAAAAACTAAATCTTTAGAAAACTTACTTGGCAAAGTTGGCGACAAAAAAGGAGGCGAGGTCAGCAAAAACCATAAAAGATAAGTTGTGTTCGTTAAACTACTATTAGCTGGGACAATAGGCATAATTTCGCTCATTTTTAGAAAAAATCTGAAAGTAAGAAAGGCGTATTCAGTTTCAAACTAGCAAATAGCAAAACAACTTCAAAATAAAATAGTTAACTAATTTATTCAGTGAAAAAGAAATATAAACAGTTTTCATTTACTTTGAACTTTCCATAGAAAACAATTTTTTGAAAGTATTTTAAACTATTATTGGTACACTATACGAGTACGAAAGATTTAATTAATTTTAGTGACATTATAAATAATAGAGAAAAACAAGTTTGAAGGCTCTTTTATCATCAGATAATTATATTAAAGTAGTTTAAATTAAAGCAGTAATGGTAATAAATATTTGATTTCATTACTTTTGTAATCCAATTATTGTTCAAAAAATTTGTTTAGAGTAAAAATCAAACATAACTGTTCTAGTGAAGTATTTAACTTTGATTACATCTTTAGGTTGCAGCAATACACTTTTGATTAAACTATTTTTTTTAAATAAAATGATAAAACTGAATCTGTATTCTCTATTATAAACATCTAGATGCTATAATTTTTAAAGAAACAAATGCATTCTTTGTAAATACTAAAACTTGTATTTCAGTATGTAAAAATAACGATGCTTTATTTCAATGAAATAGTATCTTATAGATAAGAATTTATCGTAATAAAATGCACTTGCCATTCTTCTCTTAATTAGCATTTTAAATTTTATGTAAATGGAAGAGATATAAATTTAAATTTCCATGTGTTTAAAATCTTACTTAAATTTTGCGCATNCAATATATATGTATGTATCTTTTCAACACTGAAAAAGTAAACCAAAAATTAAAAATGAAACTCTTTACTTTAATAACAGGCGTAATGAATCGTGATAAAATTATTCAATATTTAATTCAAATGTTTGCATTTTATTATTTTTCACATTTCGTAACTTATTTAGATTTCTTAATTCATCATAAAAACATTTTATTGAAATGATCAAACCGAGTAGAATATATATATATTTTACTTCAATATTTTTTTATATTTCGCTTTGAGTAAACAAATTATGTTTAGTTAAGAATATATTCTATAAAAAAAACTAATACCACGTTTTAATTAAATTTTAGATTCTTAAATACTAATTAAGGGTCAATATCCATTTAAATTCAATTTGAAGATCGTAAATATTAGTTTTAATGAAGCAGTTTAAATTATATCTTATGAAATAAAAGTTAGAAAAATGCATTTTAAGTTTGAATTCTCTTTTTTTCCTTCAAATATATTAACTTTATTATTTTTTTAAATATCACTTTTCTGCAAAAGTTTTGAAACATCATGAATCATTTATAAGGATTATGTAGAACAAAACTGCTAAAGCGTAAATTGACATAATAGTTTTCATGCATCTTAGTCTAAACACTATGCGTTTTTTACTGTATACATACACACACGCTTTATATATTAATTAAAGATTTCAGATCCTGCCGATGGATACACTGGACAACAAATTCCTTTGTTGTAATTATACAAATATTTGATCTTGCATGATTCTGGTGCAGGGGTTTTAAATCTGTAATTTGTTTTGTTTCTAAGGTAACATATTTATTTAAATCACCTTCTTTTGATGAAATGTGCAAGTTTAAAAACGATTTACACAACAGGATGTCACGTAAATGTTGCAACAAACTTCCAGGAGAGTTTAAAGCAAGAAACACAAGACGAATCAAAAGCCCCAGAAGAAACAGTTCATATTAAGAAAGCTCCTCTGGAAGTGTAAGATGAAATTTTTGGGCATGGATTTCTACGCATTTATACACCTTAAAATGTTCCCTAAGTTCTCTAAGCTTAATGCAACATATGTGTGAATGTCTGCTATTTATAACGTTTTTAAACTTCGTCACTTTGAAACTAAACCGTAGCAATTTTAAAAAAAATCGAAAAATGAGATATTTGGGTCATTTTGCGTAAAAAAATCACCCTTTTAGAGAAACGACGTGTTATCTTCATAGTTCCATAAAATTAATTTAGAAAGCAGATAAATCATTATCGCATTGGCGCGATTCGCCATCTTGGTTTTAGGGAATGGTGTAGCAGTGTGCCAGTTGCATCAAAACCTTGGAGGAGATAATGTCGCTTTGAAACTAAACCGTGGTAACTCAGAAAAGCAAGTTTTTCAGGAGAGCGATTTTTCTCCTACACTGCTGTATGTCAAAGTTTGAAATGTAATATTCGGGAGGATATTTTGAAGAACATTGTTGTATTTTGAAATAACTCTCCACTTTTAATAAAAGTTTTAGAGAAAAGTGTTGCAACTCAAAGTACCTTAACTTATTTTGAAATTACCACAAAATTAGAAATGCTACAAGAATCAGGCCTGATTCATTGAAAAATTTAAAGAAACATTGTTTTTTTAACGTAAACTATTTTGCAAAAGTCGCCAAAGCTTCGAGTCAACCTGCGGTGGAAGTTCCTGAAAAGTTAGAAATCGCTCTCCTGAGAAACTTGCTTTTTTGAGTTACCACGGTTTAGTTTCAAAGCGACGACTTGTACATTTCAACAATAAGACTAAACATGCTGCTAAAAATGTGACTTTCAGAGAGACTAATTGTAGACTTGCAGAATATAGATTGTAGACTATTGTGACGTGAAAATAAGATCCATTGAAAAATCTCATGCAATAGAAAAACATGTTTTCCTCTGTGTTCTTAATGCTAATGCTCCATAAATTTTTGTAGTAAGGGAATTTCCAGTAAATGTCATTTTTCTAATTCAGATTTTTGCATAACCAAATATCCGAGGACACCATCGAAAGTCTATATTTTTATATTGCTACGAATCGTGTAAAGCTTTTAAAGCATAAAACTTAAACTAGTCTTAAAAACTAAAACTGGTTAAAACTAAGCTCGTCTTAAAACTGGATTCGTTTATTGAAACTAATACAAAAATAGAAATCCAGTCAGTTTTGCTTATTATCTGAATTTATTGCTTTATAACTGATGAAAAAGTTTTGAACTGAAAGTCAAAAAAATTGGGATGAAATTACATTAAATAACAATATTCCCGATAGATCAAAAAATGAGAATTTGCTTCAACGTGAATTGAGTATAAATAAAAATTTGTGAACACATCTCTGAATCTGCATTTGTATATCGTCACATAATACTATATTTTGAGTCTTCTAAAATGTAAATTGATATTCATAGTCTTTTCATATTTTTTCTTAAAAATGGATACGTTTAAGGAAGCTGTTATAGGAATAAGAATATAGAAGTTTTTTTAGTGATAAAGTATGGTTTGGATAAAGCTGGCTAAATTACTAAATTCTTCGAAAGACAGCGATATTTTCAAAAAGTGAGATTGTACCTGATCATGATACAGAAATAACAGACGGACTAATTTGAAGTAGACACACAAAAGGACTAAAAATTACCACTTTCAAATTTCGAACCATTTAGCAATAATTTTACTGACTACAAAGTCAAAATAAAGGAATTTTAAGAATTCAAATTTAATGAACAGACAATCAGCTTCTTTTCTGGGAAAACTAAAAAAAAGAAACAACTACAAAGCGTAGAGCTTGAAGAAATATAATTGAGAGAAATTTATTAATAGAGTGTCAGCTTGATAGATGAACTAGATCAGTGCTCCTCTATCAATCAATTAATTTCCATTTGCACTATTTCCATTGGACGATTCATATTACCATCCGTATCAAAACGTATTCCTATAGGTTGCTTCTGTAACTGATAGATCATTGATGGATTTTTTCAGTTGACAGGAAAGTGCAGTGACGTCCGTTGAGACATGTCTATAATCTTTTATTCATATATAGCTCATGGGCTGCAATAGCGGCACAACTCAAAAAATCAAGTTCTGAGATAGGTGGGTTTAAAGTTTTTATTGCTAAGCAAAATGCATATGAAATGATTTAGTTTGCTTAAACGAAGATTAGCATCAAGTTGAATTATGAGTGTGCTAATATTGCTGCTGAAAAGAATGTGTATTTTTATATTTAAACCTGCTCTTAGTGCGTTTTTAGAGTTGTGAGCGATATATAAATTTATTTCCTTGTTANTTGGCCCTCTATGGCCTGTCGTGACACAGATTTTAAAAATAAATCCGTAATATATATATATATATATATACCAAAAAGATAATTATATAAAATATAAATTTATTATTTTTTCCTTTAAATGCAGAGCGGAAAAATGAATTATTTTCATGAGGAGAATTAAAGGACAAATATAGGCACCGCATTATCTCCGGTGCTTGTTGTAAAAATTTATCGAATCAAAGCTCTTGCATCCCTTCTCTAAGGATTAAATATTTCTAAAGTGTATCAACATATCTGGTTTATATGGATTCAGTTCGTCCCATCAGGCATTCAATATTTTTCATTCCTTTTTCGATATGTCTCAAAGCCCAGATCGTTAGTAAATATTGAACATCTTTCTTCGAATTATCCAATGCTTTCAAATTACAACAGATTTAGTCCCTAGTGGCAGTATAATTCGTGTACCAAGGAAAAAGACTAAATTCAACGATGAAAATTTCTTACATCCCAGCACATTCTTTCTAATCAAATTACATGGAATGCATGTAGGTTTTTTCAAGGAAAATGTATTTCCCTAGACGATTCTATTCCCTCAAGTTGCCTTACATGGCGTACTTTACCTAACATAATTTACTTTTTTATGGCATTTATTTAAAGAACGGTTATGAGAATGCATGTGTTTTTTTAGTTTTCGTTAAAGATAATGTTTTCATTAAATCTGCGGTGAAAAGATAAAAAAAAAATCGTATACGTGATTTTGTCGAATATTAAAAGTTCTGTTAAAATATTTAAGCACAATAAAAAGTTTAAAATATTTTTTTAATTGAAAATTTCTGGGTTTTATGTTAGTGAATTAGAGAGGCAATTTTGAGTTTATGGTTATCAATGCGCAACTTCGCAGCCTTGTAATTTTTAACCCAATCTAGAAGATAATGGAATTCTTGTATCAAGTATTGGGTGAAATGAGTCATCGTGGAGGACTTATTTATGTAACTAACTCCCCTTTG